TCATAAATAAACAAAGCTATGGAGAGAAGCCTGAATACCGACCGTCAAGAGGGGAATGTACGGGGCAATGATGTCGACTTTCCCTTCTCTCTCCTCGCGTTTCTTCCTCAGCGTCTCCTCGCGGTGGGCCTCGTCGTACTGCCTCTGCGGAGACACAAACACGGTCTTTATTTCAGAACGAGGAGAGCTCCGAGAACCGTCAGCGTCTGCATGAACTGCCAGATCCGTGACTGGTTTTTTGCACTTGTGGTCGAGGTCACTTCCTCGGCGGTGCCCTTGGAGCGGGTCTTCCCTCGGGCGCCCACCCTCCCCAGCGTTACCTGCCGCAGGATGAACTGGACGGTCTCATTGCGGTGGATGTCGAAGATGTGCGTCACGAGAGCTGGGTCCTCCTCCTCCCGGGCTCTCGCCTCCCGCACCTGCGCCGTCTCCTCCACGCCCCTTCGCACCTCCTCCTGCGACACGGCCTCCGCCTCCATCTCCGCCCGCAGGACCGCCCACAGCTGCGGCATCGGGGGCTCCTCGACGGTCGGGTCGGGCTGGCGAGGGGAGAGGAGGGGGTAGAGGTAGACAGTTTCCATTTTCGGTTTAACTGTTCTTCTCGTCCAAATGTTGATATATCTTCCTTTTTTATCAAGTGCAGAACCAGGAATTGTGTCAATGATACTTAGTGAGGATAATGATATGTATAACAATGATGGTTATACCTATATCGACTTTAGTACGCGTGGGTTACCCTACATGGGTGATTCTAAACAGAGGTTTTGAGAATCACACCAAAATTAATTCAAAAGAATAAAATTTACTGATTCTATCTTAAGACAATTGTAAAAAAAATCAATAATAATGAACCCACGCCAAGTTCCCAACCCTCCGCCCATCACTTGACGCGTACAAGGCTGACCCCATTGACCCGAAGGAACACTCACACACTCCTCATGCGGTCAGACGGTGACCTGCCTCCCTACGTCACCGCCGCCCGCGCCACCTCTCTCTCTCCTCTCCTGGGTGGGCGGCCGCGGGTTCCTACCCCTGCACTGACCAGTCTCGAACCGTGTTTATTTGTCTTTGTGTAACCCTCGAGAATAGAGTGAAGTCGTAATGGGAGTATATACTCTATCCCTACCAGTGTTAAGGGATAGGGAGACGAAAAAAAAAACACTGTGGCCCTGACTGCATATCTGGTCTTCCTGATTCTCTCTTCATTTCACTTGACAGATTGCTGACATTCAACCAGGTTATGTCTGTCATTGATATTGATCTATGAAATAATTTATTCATAATATCGGTTTTATGATGCCAGATAGATAGTAAGTCATCTTAGAGATATGTTTGCTTGATGAGGTTAATAACCTTTTATACTCACCCTAACCCCACTCCTAACCCCATCCTATCACACCCCACTCCAACCCAACCCCATCCTACCCCACCCTAAAACCCTATCCTATCCACCCAACCCATCCTACCCCAACCCCAACCCTATCCCACCTCCCATCCCAACCCCACCCGAACCCAACCACCCACGCCTACCCCATCCTACCTCATCTCATCCAACCCCACCCCACCCACCCCCAACCCCTCCTACCCCAACCCCCTCCTACCCCACCCCACCACCCATCCCCAACCCCCTCCTACCCACCCCACCCCACCCATCCCCAACCCCCTCCCACCCCCCTCAAACCCCACCTGGAACCCATGCGTCATCTCCGGCGACGAGGGTGGCCGCCCGTCCATCTGACGCAGGCGGCTTGACGAAGGACCGGGTCGGCTGCAGGAGGCGGTGGTGGCCGTAGTAGTGGTACACGAGGAGGATCCTGCCCTCCGCCACCTGCAGCACGCGGCACGCCGCAGCTTGCACGGCCTCGTGGGGCGCCGTGCCCTCGGGCTGCCCGTACTCCTCCTCGATTCTCTGGCGTGATGCGTGATGGAGCAGTGAAGGGGGGGGGTATTATTGTTGTTGCTGAAGAGGGTATCATTATCATCACTGTCATCATCATCATTATCATTGATATTATAATTGTTATCATCATAATTATCATCGTTTTTTTATCATTTTCATAATCATTATCACTATTATCGGTATTATTATTATCATCGATGTTATCATCTTTGTGATTACCATTATCATTATTATCAGGAGTAGGAGTGGTAACAGTAACAGGTAGACTATTATAATTACTATTTTTACTATCATTATCATTATAATCATTATCATTATTATTGTTTTATTATTATTTTGATCTTCATTATCACTATTATTTTTACCATTATTACTTTCTTATTATCATTATTATTATCACTTTTATTATGATCATTACTATCATCATCATCATTATTATTATTATTACTAACTTTATCATTTAGTATTAGTATTATCATTACTATTACCATCATCATTATTGTCATTATTATTACCACTATCATTATTACCAGTTATTACTGCTATTACCATTATCATTATCATTACTACTATCATTATCATTATTATTGTTATCATCAACATTATTATTATTATTATTATTATTATTATTA